GACATTTGGCGACCAATTTTGTCGTTACCACAGGCGATTTTTCTTGTAGTGATATATGGTTATGTTCGACATAAATGTGTCGAAAACTATCAATAATTCGACACTTATGTGTCGAAAAATGCCAAAATACACATTAATCTGAAAAACTTAATTTTCGACACACTGGTGTCGATTTGGTAATAAATTTTGACGGTAATGTGTCGAAAGTTCCCATAAATTCGACATTAATGTGTCGAAAGTTTTCTATTATAAATTTACTTAAATTCTTCACTTTTGTGTAGATCGATTGCTCCGATGTATTTACTTGGTCGTCCGCGACGGCGGTAACTTGGCCTAGGGTCGTCGGCGGCGATAGCTTCACCTAGGTTGGTAGGCGGTAAGCCGGTAACTTGTGAGCGGCGACTGTCCGCGGCGGTGGTTGGGAAGAGAATTATTATTATTATTTTTTAATTGATATTAAAGTGAGAAATATCAATGTCATTTGTATAAGTTGATATTTTGCACGTAAAGATATTTTTGTACTTCTTCATATTAAAGTAAGAAAAAAATGAAAAAAAATAATAAAATATATTAAGTTGAGGTTTTAAACTAGGTCTAGGTGGTATAGAATTGAGAAAAAAGTGGTATTATTAATTTATTTTTGCTGCCCCGATGCATAAGAAAATTTCTTTAGGGTTCAATTTTGCCAAATATATCGAATTGAGGGTGCATAGTGTCAATAGACATATTTGTAGGGTGCAAAAGGCCATTGTGACGTGGAACATCAGAAACGTCTCGGGTCGGGTAGTAGGCTAGTGGTGTGACAATCCGAGCCGACCCGATCCAGGCTCGGGCTATTACTATATAAACTAGGGTAAATTACAAATACCCCCATGAGGTATGGTTAAATTACAAAAACACCCCTCTTATTTGGATAATTACAACCACCCCTCAGCTCTTCAAATTTAGTGGAATCTTCGAGATTATATGAAATATTATCACTTCTGTACCCGTTTTATACTATTCAAACTCTACATTATAAAGTAAGATGATCATAATATGTGATTTTTAGCTTGTGTATATCAGTTTGTAGTGCATCGGAAACTGTATTTTTACGCATAACGAATACAAACTATAGCACATTCCACGGAATCTAGATGATTATATTGAATTAGACACAATAAGGGTGGAGGTGTAAGAAAAAAATCATAGTTGAGGGGTAGATGCAATTATCCAAACAAGAGGGGGGTTTTTGTAATTTGACCATACCTCAGGGGGTGTTTGTAATTTACCCTATAAATTATAAAGGTTTTATCTATCTTCGACAAGAGCAATTCATCTCTTTCACAACTCCGACGAAAAGGGGGATTGATCTAGGGTTTTTTTCGTTGTAAATTATACGGCGGAGACGGCGACATCGGCAAAGGAATTGACTAGATACGGCGGCGGCGGCGGCGGCGGCAGTGAAGACAGATAAAAGGTCCCTCTTTTCTTCTCTCTTTTGGCCGAGGCCATTGCGATTTTGAACCTTAGTTGTTGATAAGTGCTTTTTGAAGTTTCAGCCTTCAATTGCTTTTGCTCTGAAATTGGAATAAAACTTATTTAGCAGCTTTTTCTATATTAGCATCCAATTTGAAGCATATTATGCCGATTTCTATTGTTGAAGAATTTTTTTTAGCAATCTTTTGTTTGTGATGATAATAAAAAGAACTGAAACGAGTTAATTCATGTTTTTTTTTTATGATGATGTTGATAGAGTTTTCGGTCCTGAATTTTACAACCTTCAAATTAGGAAACATGAAGATGATTAAATTAATTTAGTACTTGTAATTGCATCATATAAGGAGTCAATTAGGTATATAAGGAGTCTATTAGGTTATTATCTCCCGTTGTCCTTTTACGAAACCAAGAATGAAGAAACTCTTTTTTTTTTATGTTTCTGCAAATAATCTTCAGTCCTGCGAAAAAGACTCCGTTTTTTTTTGGGTAGGTTGAGGGCTTTTATATAGGTAACCAAATACATGGGATTGGATTCAATTCTTCGTAAACTTCTTGTTTGTCCAAAATATGAATATATACAACACACACACACACTCTCACATGTGAGTGTGTACTTGATATAGCGAGTTGCAAAGTAGTTTTCAGTTTTGAACATACTCAAGCTTCTTAAAATTTGCAGTTGGTGATCGTATCCCAGTCAAAGTTCCATGGATTATATTTGTTATGGTGAACATTGGGACCTCGAAGATGTGGATACCCGCCCCCCAGAAATGATTTTTCTCTTCCAGATATATTACTCATGCCTTGGAGAAAAAAAAATCAGTCAACTCCGAGATAGCCTCATAACCGAAGTTTCCAAATTTCTCTCAGTTTCAAGGGGCATTGCCTGCACCCTCTTGGTCCAAAACCGTTGGAGTACGACTCTGCTTTACGACAAATGGTTTTCTGATGAGAAAAGTGTCCGCGAGGCAGTTGGTTTATTGCCGGAAAAACAAGAATCACCGAAACAACTCGACTTTTGTTGCTGCAATATTTGTTTCGGAGAAATCAAGATTGAGAATACATTGTCCGCCCCCTGTGGGGCCCACCCCTTTTGTCTCGATTGCTGGAAGACTTATCTTACTGTCTCCATCAACAACAATGGCCCTGGATGCTTGAAGATGCCTTGCCCCGAGCCTGGATGCAAAGCCTACGTAGGTTTAGACATTGTCGACTCTTTGGCTTCGGATTCCGATAAAGACAAGTACTATGGATATTTGTCGTCTTCTTATGTTGAAGGCACCTTGAATCTGAAATGGTGCCCAGGCCCGGGATGCAATTTAGCGATCCGGTTAGACGAGTACGGCCCCAAGGGCTATGACGTGACTTGCGATTGCTCTCACAGGTTTTGTTGGAATTGCTTGGAGGAGACACATCGCCCTATGGATTGTGAGACAGCGGATACGTGGCGCAAGCAAAACACTTGCTTTGAGGCGGACACCGTTAGATGGATATCGTCTTACACGAAGCCCTGTCCTAAGTGCCGTAGGTACATAGAGAAAAACCATGGATGCAATCATATGACATGTGGAAGCCCCTGTGGGTTCCAGTTTTGTTGGTTGTGCCTCGAGAAATGGAGCCACGAGTTGCAAGTATT